CCCTATCCCGAGCACATCCTGAAGGGAGAAAATAGCCCTGATACATGAACCTTCTTGTTTGTCTTTTGATACTTGTTCATCTTTATATCTTTATTTGTGCACAAGAAACCAACAAATAAAAGAGAACACTATTACATTCTAATTAGCTTGGGTGGATAAATATACTGCTTCTGATACCTTATCTAGCACATTCAATGCTAGCTTGGAAGAGATCTTCACAGCACTTAATTATACCTTGCAGATCAACCCTGTGTCATAGAACCTGGGTAGTTGAATGCTCCAGGGCAGCATTCAACTGATTTATGCACTATCCTTTCCCAGAAATCACTCTCTCATCCACTACTTAACTTTGAATTTGTGCCACAAATGAAGTAGGAGTCCTGTGGAAAGAATAATACCCAGTCATATCATTCAAGATTATATCAGAATGCAGATTGTACACAAGAGTGCTAACTTAAACTCAAACAGATAATCTTAAATCTGATGTTTTCTATCTTTGAACTTGGCAACCTTAACAAAGTTCTTTTCACATAGGTTTCCCGTGCTTATATAAAGAAGAAAGATACCTCTTGATGTGCAAATATAAAAGGACAACAATAAAAAAAGATACAAAAGACGACTAATGTCCAGAGTTCATTGCAATGATTTAGATTGGGAAATGTCAGGCATCCTTAATAATAGGCAGTGCAACCTCACCTATAATATCTAATATAGCTTGGGTGTGAGTCTGTTTGTTTGTGATATTAGCCTTTTCTATTGCTATTCTCATAGAAAGTTTATAATTTTAGTGCCTTTTGGTGCATTTGTGTAATTCTCTTTATTATTCATTTGTTCACTTCTTCCCAGACACACTGAAAGGAAGAACAGAACTGAGGCAGAGAACCTCATACATTAAACCATCATTTTCAATGATTATTTGAAAAAATCCAGTTTAAACAGCAGCTTCTCACACAGCTAAATGTAGTTATGAAGTAAAGTGGAGGTTAAAATACATTTATTCAATTGTCTATATTTCACGCTAGCTCATATAAGAAGTTGGAAATTACCTAACATTTATGCTCTTACTTTATCAGAAACAATAATGATGAGAGTCCATTCTAGATCTTAGCCAGCCAGCCAATTAATATAATATTTTTATAATGGCTAAACATGGAAGAGGCAAATTCTAGTCATTTGAACAGGCATTTATGCCATATCACTGATCATATTGGTTTAAGGATTTTTGGTTTTGCCTTTTCTAAAAAGCATCAGACATTGGTTATGTTGGAGATTAGAGATTGGCTGCAGTGTGCTGATGCTCTTAAACAATACCATGAAACCTATCATGGTGGGTCTTGCTCATACACTCCACGGTAAATCAATCATTAGCCCTGGGGTCAAAAAGACATTTTCAGGTGGGTAAGGACCTTTGTGTTTTATTTTGCATTCTTTATGATGTAGTCATGGTCCGCTTCCTGGAATGTGAAGCCATATCATACCAAAACTAAATGCCTTTGCAGGTGCCCAAGATATTGCTAGCTCTCTAGTTTCTCCTTATTTTTTGTTTTGTTTTTTTCTTCTTGTTTTGTTATGTGGGCTGGGGAGCATGTTCTTGTGGATCCTTTTAAGTTCATATTTATTACGCGATTACCTGGGAATACAAGGGACTCAGGGAATAGCTGGGAATACGAGGAGGTCCTCTCCAGTCCTGTGTTTCTATGTGTCTGAGTCCCTCATACATCCTCTGCTATCCAGAGAGGGGAAGTAGCAATATCTTGTTAGTTTTGTGGTGCTCAAGGTCCGGAGGATATGAATGGGGAGTCTGGCTGCCTCAGAGAGCCATCAGTAGATTCTCCATTGAAATAAGATGCATGTTACAAGATGCATAACCTAGATCATAAGAGGTGTGGCTAACCAGTTGGGAGGTAGCGTTAAGGAGCAACTATTCTGTCCATGCTGCCTTTAGAAGTAGCCCATACCAGACTACTAAGTAACGCATGATGAAATGCTGGCCCATGGCCTCACACTGACCTGTTGGCACAATGTGGTTTTCTGTCTGTCTGAAAGAAACCTATTGTAGGTCTCAGCTGCTTTAGATTTCCCTCTCCATAGGAACCAGGATAAAAGGGGTCTCAGCAACCTAAAATAAGGGTGGTTCAGCTGCTCCTTCCCTTGCCCCCAGAAGTAGATACATTGTACTTCCTCTGTAGGTATTCTACCAACAGTTGGCATGTTGTGGTCTCCCTGACAATGTTTTCAATCAGTACTCTCTGACTATATTGCAGTGTACGTAAGACCTATCTTACTGTGGTTTTTTTAACCTTTCCATGTTAGGGCAAGAAGTGGTCTATTGTTACTCATGCCATACAAAGGGCGTAAAGTGCTCTCTCCATCTCTTTTTCTGTCTACTCACTGACTTTTTATCTGTCTCCCTCTCTGAGCTTGTGTGGCTCTCTGATTAACATAACAACTAATTATTACTTTGATGATGAAAGCACAAGTATAAATATGTACTAGGGGAGATGAGCTAGTATGCAAATAGTTGGCTCCTGTGACAAGCACTTAGAGAAATCTTAGGGCATAGATAGATAGATCATTGACCTACTTGTGGAAGCTACTAACTGTGGAAGGGCTGGTTTTTACCATCATAGTTGTTCCTTAGCATTACAACTGGCATGCAACAGAGTGATGGAAGTGATTGTCTTCCTTGCTTCTCAAGTGTGACTTTCTTAGGCTGCCAGGAATTACCATGGAAGCAGGTTGATGGTGTCAAAGGTGACACAGCGATAGCTCACCCTTCCAAGCAATGGCTGTATTATGAAGCACCTTCTTTCTGATAAACCAGACCGGCATGTATTTTAATACATTTAAATACAGACTGCAGTGCTGGTGAGTGGTGCAAGATGGCAATCCCTAGAGACTGAAATCCTCTATTTATCCAGATATTCAGCAGAGCAGAAGGAACAGGAGTGCAAGTTTTTCCCTCCCCATCCCCTTAATTAACAGGGTTTTCCACTAGAGGTCAAAGGAAGATCATTCTCTACACCTATTGAGGGTTTATTCCTATGGTCCCATACCCATGGCTTGCAGACAGCATGATGCCCATGAGATCCTCTGATGTTGCCTGTGGTCACAGGAAATGAAAAAGCTAAAACTGAGGCTGACAAGGAGAGCAAAGTGTGATAATCTTCACGGTGCATTTTTTGCTCAGTATTATTACTATTGCCTGTGGCCTTAGTGCCTGCATCAAGAATGTTTAACAACATCATTATATGATGACTGTTCAGTGGCCTCAGTTCAGTGCAGATCCATGAAGTGGGTGTTATGATGGATGGCAGGATCTGTACTGAACTGAGGCTTCTAAACTCATTTTACCAAGGCCACTGAACGGTCATCATCTAATGATACTTTGCTGTCTCTTGTTTCTTGTACACACACCTGAGTTAACCCTCACAGCCTACACAGTTATTTTTAGTTTTATTCAAGTTAAATTTACCTTTAAGATAGGGAAACAAGCACAAGGACCACATTTTTGAGGTATTTAAGTCCCTAATTCCCCTGCCCTAAGAGACCTATCCGAAGTTAGAAAGCAAATTTGTTATAGCTTTAATAATAGCAATAGGGGGTGCATCTATACATGTCCCAACTGCACCAAACAAAGTACTCAATGATAGTATAGTAACAGCCTATACTGTGCCATGCACGGTGTGCATGGTTATTTTTAGCTGCCATGTTGCCATAGCAACATGCTATAATGAGGGAGTGCATTGCTATGGTGATGTAGCTGCAGCATCATGGTTTGTGACCACCGATGCTACATTGCCATAGTGAGTTGCTACAGCCACATAACATCATGTGTAGACATGCCCAAGGAGACCTAACTTCCAGTCCCTGTACTTCAAGCACAAACCTAACACGGTATTAGCTCACCAAAGTCCAGAGCTGAAGTGGTGACCTACCTACTGAAAGGCTTTTGTCTTAGTCCTGATCTAAACTCAGTGAAATAATTGAAAATGTTCTCATTGATTTCAGTGGAGTTTCAATTCAGGTATATTTTTGTTAATATAAATCTCTTGGTCCTCCACTTTGATGGGAGGGCAGGGTTTGAAAAGACATAATGGGTGCCTGTACATGTGTGGGGATGCTGCTCCAATGTGCTCTAATTACAATGCATCAGAGCAGACCTAATTAATCGAGTCTCCTGGCGTGTGCTAATTAGCCTTTTTTGCTCAGTGTTCCAGCAGCCTCCGCGTCTTGTGTATTCAACAACATTGAGCTTCAAAATGGCAGCAGGGGCACTTTTTAAATAAAGTTCATTGAACGAGCTTTAGTTAAAGTGCCCCTGCCACCATTCTGAAGCATGGGACACTGCATACACAAGACACTGTGGGTGCTTTAGAGTGGCTCTTAGAGCCACTCTAATTAAAATGCCACCGCCCCCCCAAGCACGTGTCAAGATACCCCATGGTTGTAATTCTCTGCTTTTCCTTTTGTGTTGCCTAGTGAAGCTCAGTAGTGGCACAGCAGTGTATGGGAAATGGGTAGCCCACCATATTGAATCATCCAATCTATCCCCCTGCCCATGTGTGGGATTGCTTCCTGCAATACATTTCCTAGTGTATTTCAAGCCTAATTTTAAATGTATTACCAAACAGGGGTATTCTTTCGTTTCATTTCTCCTTGTTCTATTTATAAGCCACCGATCTACCTGAAATAACCTTTCATCCCCCCAAAAAAGAAAAAAGTAGATGGTCTTAAAAAAACAATTACAGAGAAATCAATCCTTCATCCATTAACAGGTTTCTATTTAGTTCTTAAGACACATGGGTAACCTGGTTAGACCTGTTTTGTTTGAACACTAAGGTGTGAGTTGGCCATATGCAAATCTTTTGCAATCTTTTTTTTGTTGTTGTTATTTCTGACCCAATCAGAGGAGCAGGAAATGACCTAAGGAATTACCCTATTGGCTGGGTCAATGTTCTACAAAATGTTTTAAAATTAATATCACATCCATTTATATTCACTCCTGTGAGGCTTTTGAAGTGATAACCCAGCACCTGTGTTTACCTAACCCTGCTATTCTCTAGGCAGTCTTTTCATTGTCTCAGCTAAAGGATTTCCCCTCCAGAATCAGCAGCTAAATGAGGTAAGGCTTTTTTTAAACTTCCTACTAAGCCAATGCCACTTAGAATAAAATGTGCAGAAGTGTGCACTGGAATCACTCCCACTCAAAAACCTGCTGCAGCCCCTCCCTTCCTACTTTTGAACAGCAACTAAGTTTTTCTGTGTTCTGATCAAAGACTTTTGAACATTACAATAAACACTTTTACTCCCCTGCATCCTGCCTCGTTTCTGTTTAAGAACTCCTGTTTATTTTTGTATTATGAGGAGCAGAGCTACAATCTTCACTTACTTTGAATGCCACCCAATATATACTCATTGACTTCTATAGAGTTATTCATAAATGCTATTCACTGTGAGATCACAGAAGATCATATATCTGGCCATTAGTTTCAGAAAAAAATAATGTTTATTATTGCATGTTTAATAGTGTTTGGGGATTAACTTCTGTTGCCCCTTCATCTCAGCATACATGGCCATACTTTGTCTCAGTGCAGATGGACCCTATATAATTAGAAAGGTCCTGCTGTTTTTGTACTGATGACAATGGTGGTGGGAATTCTGAGGATAATCCCAAACCCTAAAGTCCTTTCTCACTTTTTACCCAGTCTTTATTCAAGCCCACTGGCTTCTGTGGGGCTTTCCTAAAGTCCTTAGCCCCAACTCTGTTAAAACTCTTCAATAAAGTCAATGCAAGTCCTGCATTTACACGAACCAAATAAAATTATCGTTAAGACCATCAGAATTTATCTCTGGGAATTTCACCTTTTGAGTTCCCATCAATTTCAACGACAATTTTACCTGAATAAAAACAGAGCAATTCCTTTGAGAAGCAGTATTTATTGTTGTCTGTACTTGCATTGTAGTAGACAAGCTTGTGCAAACTTTCAGCAGAAAGACCATTCAGCAAATGATTCAGAATGTATAAAATATCTCTGAAAGTAACCAGGGAAACATTTACTAATACTTACTAATATTGCATCATGTAAATGATTTTTCTGCATCTATTTTTATATATATTTGAGACGTAGTTAGCCATTTTAGTTTGAAGTAGAAGGCAGGGTAAGTTTGCACCTTATAAACTAACCAAAGTGTGTGTATATCTATATCTATATCTATATAGCAATAGCTTGTGTGAACTGAAGCTAACTTCATCAGATGCTGTGAAGGGATGTGCAGAAAACCCACCTTTTATACATATTTGCTTATTTAGATTGCATATGTTGGAATGATTTTATTTAAAATCATTGCTTTTCCGGCAATGTTTAAAGTGCATTCAACTTCTTTGTTTTGTTATTTTGCTGAGTGAAAAAAGGCAGTTCATAATGATATAGCATATGCTATAAACTGTAAACCATAAATCATAAAGCACAACTGATTTACTTCAAAATTATAATTTTTACTAAGGCATATGTGTCTCTTTTAGGTATATGTCTTGCAGCAATGTTCCTTTATTTTTGTGGGTGGGTAGAAAAATCTGTTCTGAGTGTTTTGGTAGTAAATTTGCTACTGACAGTGTAAGTTGGCTGTCTGACACAAATTTTGCATTTTATAATCATCACAGGTAGGGAACAGAGAAGATCTGTTGTTAAAATAAGCCTGGAAGCCAAAGAAAAGGGTGGTTGTTAACACAATTACACAAAAATATTTCAGTAATAGATCCTTCCTGAAACATCAAATATATCCAAGAGTTTCATAGATTCATAGATTTATAAGACCAAAAAAAGATTGACTACCATGTAATCTAACTTTCTGAATAAAGCTGGTCATCATAGGTGCTGACTTTTTTTTTTCTGGTGAGGGAGAGTGCACAGGGGGTGGGGGGGGCAGTTAGATGATGGACATGTGGAAAGTTTTACACATTTCAGGTGCAGCCTTCCTCCCGAGCGGGGCCAGGGCCCTCACAGCCCCTACGTACTTGGCACCCATGCTGATCATAGACTCTCCCTGTAGTAATTCCTTCTGTGAGTCCAATAGCTGTTCTTGAACTAGATTGTAACTTTTAAAAAGCACACCCAGCCTTGATTTAAAAATTACCATTGATGGACAATCCAGCACAATTCTTGGTAATTTATCTCAGTGATTAATTGTCATCATTGTTAAAATGTGTTGCCTTATTTACAGTTTGAATTAGGCTGCCTTCCAGTGATTTGACTTTTCAGCCATACTTTTGTCTGATAGATTGAAGAGCCCTTTGCTATCTAATTCCTGATCCACACGTAGGCACTAAAAGACTATGATTCAGTCACCACTTACCCTTCTTTTTGATAAATGCAATGGATTTTGCTCCTTAAAACTTTCAGTAGAAGACAAGGTTTTATTATTTAACCATCCTCACAGCTCTTCTTTGAAGCTTCTCCATCTTTTCAGCTTCTTTCTCAAAATGTGGACATGATTGGTAGACCTGGTATTACACACTACACACTCCTACTTGAGATTCCCCTATTTATATTTCTTATGCTTTATACTGATATTATTTGCCACAGAATCACATTGGGAATGTGTGTTCAGCTGATGATCCCCACCTTTTTTCAGTCATTTAATTTCCAGGATAGCATACCCTATCCTGTTAGCACAGTTTACTTTTTTTATTCCTACACAGAAAAGCTTATAAATAGTCATTTTGAAAAACATTTCCCCATACACACCTTATCAAATGATTTAGATGCTCTCTATTTATGGCAGTCCTCTTCATTAATCTCTGATATTTGAGTTATCAATGCACATTATTATAAATGAACTTATATTTTTGCCAAACTATTGGAATGTACTTAGCAATGAAGACTTATTACTTTGCCCCTGACTATACAGCCATCACGAGAAATTAAGTAGTTGCAACTCAGGACACATCTGTTTTAGAAAGCTTTGAGAAATGCTGTGTTTCTTAGCTAGGGTGACATGTGTCCATATTATTTCAGCTGAGGTATGTTCAGGCTATAGAACAGGATCTAGGGACCACTGGTAGTGATAGCTCACAACTCAAGAGAGAACACTCGGTTACTATAGAAATCAGGACCCTGTGTTTTAAAGGTAATATTCAGGTTAGTTTGAGTTTTAATGACTGAAAGGGACACGTAACTGAATATAGGTATTAGTGGAGAACCATGCAAAGTCAAATTTTAACTCATTCAGCTCCTGCAGAGCCTCTTTCTGCTGCTTTCATTCTTAATGAATATGCATAGTAACGTGGATATTTATTGTATCTGGGAGGTACAGAAATTAGGAAGAAGTTTAAAGAACAAATAAGCAAACAAACAAACAAAAAAACCCTTAAAAGTGAAAAATCCATCCCAAATAATTAATAGAAATTAGGTCTAGAAAAGCCATGTTTCTATAGGTTTAGGTTGTAGCCATGTTAGGCTAAGCACACACCAACTGCTGAAGCTTCCTTAGCCTGACAAAGGGTTTTTGAACCCAAAAGCTTGCTTAATAACTATTCTTCAACCATTTGGGTTGGTCTAATAAAAGATATCAAATTCACCCAAGGAACCTTGTCTGCCTATGTTTCTATAGGTGATTCTACATCCTGCCCAGAGAGGACTGTTAGTGTTACTGAGTCCTATTAGCACACTATTCTTTTTTAAAATCCATGCATATGATAGAGAAGTGGGCATCAGAGAGTAAGCATCAACTGGGAACTAGAAGCATTGTTATTTGAAGGAACTCTGGAAGGAGCTGAAATATTAAAGCAGCATAGCCTGTATACACCCATTTGAGTATAAGCGTCAAAACCCTTCCAAATTCAGTGCTTGACCTTTTAATCATTGTGTACTTTTTGTGATTTCCACAGTAAAAATCTCTGTCAACACTAGGGGGCAAATCTTCCAGCGTTTGTTGAGGCAAACCTGCTGATTGCAATGGAACATTAATGAATTCACTCTTTTTGCTGATAATCCTAATTATTGTGGAGTCATTATGGGTATTCTTAAGTATGTTATGTACTCCTCTTCTCCTTTCTGACTGTTCATGAAATAGAAGTACAGCTCCACACACAGGGAAAGGCTAAAAGCAGATCAGCAGGGTCACAAGTCAAGTGTCTTTCCACACCTGGATGCAACCACCTGGCCTAAATATTAATTACTGCACAAGGAGACATGAAAATAAAGAACTAGCCACTGAATGTATTTCTGATGATCATAACCTCTCTGAGACCTTGTTAAATCCTCATTGCTTTTCTTCTCTTCCTGCTTTAGCTGAGGACTGGCTTTCAGCCACTGATAGGAAGAAAAAGATCATAGGCACAATTTTCTGCTGTAAATTTTCTGAATGGTTTACTAGAAAGATGGCTGGTTATACCGTATTAAGATGTAACAGAATAAAATATTCAGTCTACACAGAGCACCAGGAAATAAAAAGTTCCCGTACTTAGAAAATTAGCTATTTTAATTCCTGCGCAGGTGGTTATGCTGCATTGAAATTAAATATATGACTGTTAACTAAGCATAGTAAGCATAAAACTTTCAAAGCAAAATACGTTCTAATTTCTTACTAATGTTAAAAACTGTGCACAATAAGTGGTAATTCTAGTGTTAGCACGATGAAGAGACACTAATACCAGAAAAAGCCCAGTAGGAACAGTTGCTCAATATCATTCAAAATAGGAGTAAGACATAATGCATATTCGTTTTTCTTGCTCTCTTTCCAACATAACCACAGGCACTTATGCTTCAAGCTGTATGTACTGAGAGCCGGAATTAGTTCTTAATAAAGGACCAAAGATTTATCACAGCAAGATGGCAATAAGAGGAGATGTGATAAAAACTTGAGGGCTGTTAAAGATCTTGTAAAGAAATAGTAGCCAGGGAGATGCTTACTTCATTCACAGGCAAGACAAAAAGTCTAAAAACATTTCCCTAAAGAAAGGGAAATATCTAAGGGCCAATGAAATCAGAGCTCAGGTTGAGGTCTTTGTAGCAAAATTAATCCCTGAAAACGAACAGGAAAGAATTAGCAAAAATAGGATCTGTTTGACAATGGAACAAACCTTTGTTTATCTGACTTCATTCTGTATGTCACATTGGTTAG